CCCCCCCCCCCCCCGTTTCAAGGTCTTAGAAGTCGCTATCATCCTCATCGTCGTCACCAAAGTTGTATTTGACGGCAGCTCTGGCTCTTCCTGCACGCTCTCTCGGTGGTGGTGCATGAAAACTATCATCTGAATCATCAATCATAAAGCTATCATCAACTTTTTTACTCTTCTTGGCTTTCGCTTTTGGTTTCGCTTTCACTGGGGAATAGTCCTCTTCATCTGAGTCATCCCATTTGGGAGCTTTCTTTTTAGCTGCAGGCTTGGCTTTTGCCTGCAAGATTGTAATAATCAATATCAGTAAGTTTATGCAAGTTTGGAGAAATTTTTAAATATGCTCTTCTGAGCATGTAATAGAAACGTACTAAATTAAATTCTTTAATAATACTGTAGAATACTTTATTTTCGCTTGGAATTGATTTTCGCTGAAGGAATGATTTCGTGAAAATAAAATCCTGCGAATATATTTTTTCCCATATATTTCACATTAAGCTCATCCAAAATCAGTGAAAATAAATTCCATACAAAACGTCCAAAAAGCCTTTTCAGCAAAAATTAATTCCAGCGAAAATAAAGTATTCCACAGTATTATAATTCATTATTAACAATAATATGCAACTTGTCCAACACATGTCGCCAAGCAATATCCTAACGAACAAAAAAAACAGTGCAAAGGTGCCGCAAATCAATAATAAAATCTTGAAGAAAATTCAGGCTGAAGATCTTTGAGAAACGGTGGGGGGCAGAACGTTATCAGAAAAAACTTGAGATATATTCATACCTTCGAAGCAGCAGGCTTTTTTGTGACCTTTTTGGGGACAAATTCATCTGAGTCCGAATCAGATGCGATCTTTCTCGATGGAAGGGCAGGTGCAATATCCATGTCGGAGTCGGAATCTGAATCAAGTGTAACAACTTTTTTCTTTGGAGCAGCTGTGAAAAAAGGGGGGGGGAGAAAATACCAGTTAGAAATGATACATTACAAGACATGTCAAGTTTTACATTACAACTAAATTTCAACAAGTCATTGTCAATGACACGTTCCGTTCATATTTGAGTGACATACAGTTGTATACATTCAAAGCAGATCATGACCGAAATCTCAGACCACTTTCAGTGGTCTGATTCGAAATGCACCTGCATATTAAGGTCTCATGCCACTAATCAACCAATGGCTGCTCATAGCCCTCAATTTAAATGCCTAGCAAGAACCAACGAAATTTTTTAAATATTTTTTTCTCAGGTGCTCCCTGTTTGAGGGCGTAATCACCTGGGTCAGAGGTGAGACCAACATGTGGTCTTTTGTTTACTACTTAGCGACTGTGTACCTGTGGGTTTATTCTGTGTGTATTTGGATGTTCTAACCTTGGTGTTTTTCCAGTGATTTCTCTTGGTGCAATCCAAATACAGTAGGTGTGTCTTGTTTACCTGAGATTTGCAAGAGTTTGAGCTGGCCAACATGTTAGTTTTTTTCTTATGGTTGATTACTGGCATATTAATTTCCCATTTTTGAGCCATATTTTCAACTTTCTTCGTCATTTTCGTCATATGTTAACATTGTCGTCTATGGAAATTCAATTAGTGGTATGAGCCCTGAACAACACATTGTACTAAATCTGAACAAAATCCATCTATGCATGACTGAGATCGGGTTCCGGAATTGTGAAAATACGTGATTTTGATGCATTTTCGGCCTTAAAATGGCCATCATTCAGCTATTGTTAAGCGGATCATGAAACAAATGCACATATCTATTTGTGACATGATGTACCATGTGTGTGTGAAGTTTGAACTCGATCAATCCAGACATGTGTCAGATACGGATCCAGAACTGAATTCTTTAAAACAAAATGGCCGCCAGTCGGCCATTTCGAACTAGATCCCCCCCAAAAAATTACGTCCATCAAGGTCCTATTATGTTTAATGTATGTACCAAATTTGAATGAAATCCATCCATGTATAACTGAGATCCGGGTCCGGAATGGTGAAAATGTGCGATTTTGATGCATTTTCGGCCTTAAAATGGCCGCTATTCGGCTATCGTTAATCGGATCATGAAAAAAATGCATGTGCATATGTCCCATATAATGTGTGATGTATGAGTGAAGTTTGAACTTAATCGGTCCATGCATGTTCGAGATACAGGTGATCACGGACACACGGACGCACACAGGGCAAACCATAAATGGTCAATTGTTTACCTTTCTTTTTCGGTTTACTCAATTCAGAATCATCGGAATCCGAGTTCTTCTTCCGCTTTGAGGTCTTCTGTTTAGACATAGCAGCAACTATACTCGGCTGGGTTTTCGTTTCTGTGATAGAAAAGAAGATCAATTGCAATAATGCATAGGTATAAGGCAAAATACAATGTACCAAATCATAAAAGTTGATTGGTTTACTGTATGCTACACGAATATATTGCATTGTTTTCTCTATGGAAACACAGATATTCATGTCAGAATCTGAATCAATTGTAACAACTTTTTTCTTTGGGGCAGCTGTGAAAAACGCTGTGTTCTCTTGTGTCTTTAGTTTTCACAGGTTATACTGTGGAATTGCTAAATTAACTTGCCTTTTTTAGAACCAACAGCCACTGGCTTCTTCCCAAGTGTTTTTTTCTTTGCCGGTGCAGGTTTCGCCTTTGGCTTCTCGGGCAAGCTAGAATCACTATCCAATTCTACCACTGAGGGCGCTACACAGGAAAAAGAAAGAATTCATTAATTAGATGTCCTACAGCTGCATAAAACAATTTAAAGTAGTATTATTTTATAAAATTTGGAGCAAAAAATATTCACTTTGATGCTTTAGACACATGAGCAACATCAGTTTTGAAGTATTTTACACTTCATTGCAGAACTTGTAATAGTGCACAACAACTCTGTAATCATTATTATTATTGTTGAATTATGCCAAAATAATTTTTGACTAATTGTATTTTTTATTGGGAACATGTTTTGATCAACAATTTTGACAAATTTAGAAAAACTCAACAAGGTTTTGTTTTTTTCCTTGCCAATTCATATAATCTTAATAAACAAATACTTACGTTTCTTTGATTTGCTTGGTTGCTTCGGTTTTACTGGGACATTCTCTTGCTCGGAACCAGAAGTATCAAATGAGTACTTTTTCTGAACAGGCTCGGGACCAAAACTGTCATCAGAATCTGATGCCACACGAAAAGAATCATCAGATACAGCTCCATTGGGAACACCGGCAGTGACATCGTTGTCATCATCGTCCAAAAACTTTGGTTCTTCACTGATTTTGGAACTGTTGTCGTCGTCACTGAACGTATACTTTTTGACTTTAGCAGCAGCTGTTAAAATAAAACAATATTCTTATATCAATAGACCATTTTCCGTTCACTGCGAGAATCGTGCATTATGCATGAAATCGAATGTAAAAACAGGACAAACAAAGGTCATAGCATCGTAGTGGCATCAAATATCGCGTGGGATTCGACAAACGTGAAAATATTTTGGGGTCATTTCCATGCTTAATAATGTGCTGTACACATTTGATGATAGGCAATTTCTATTAAGATCGGGTGGTCGATGTGAGCTACGAAATAAAGAAATTAGAGTTCAAAATCAAATCGTTCGATTTTTGCGGCAGATGTTCAACGCACGTCTTTCATGCATCTCGCGAGATCTCGCAGTTGAACGGAAAATCATCAATTGCAAGCTTTTCAGCAAACCTTAAATGGAGGTTGTCTTACGAGTTGTGTTTGACATTGGTGTCAGACAGCTTATGCAACATGTGAAATAGAATTTTACATAAAATTTGAATAGCAACGCTCAAGCACACACCAATACAAGTTTAACATTTTCACCACCAGACTTTCTTGCCTAATTTTTCTTCAATATTTCTAGCAATTAAATTATGGAGCCAACACAGACAAAATTTGAGTAAATTTTCAGTTTTTACTCAAAAAATTTAGTTACTTTTGGTTTCAATCTTCTTTAGTAAAGTGCAGACATTAAACGGGACTATTTTGTGAGTTTATGATGAAAAGAGGGAACTGCTGGTGTGAAAGGGTTAATGAAGACGGGTTTCTTGGAGGAAAAAAGATGGCAGCCAGTGAGTTTAAGGTTAATGAAACAAGAAAAAAATGCACAGATCAATGTCTAATCATTGTACAACAGAATCTGTTCAGCAGGAATAACTGAAATGATGTAGAATAGACAGAGCCCAAAATACAAATCCTTGTTTTGGATTTTATTATTTATTTTTTTATTTAACAAACTGTAAATGACAGTACCTATCAATAATTTAAATGTCTTCAACATTTTGAAACTGCGATAAAACTTAAAAGGTTTTGACATACTGTAAAACCATTTATTTTCACTCTTCCTGATGTTTTGAGAAATTTCATTGGGTTTACAGTTTACAAACTTTGCAAGGAATCAGCGATTTCTATTGTTCTTTTTGTTATGTCCACATGGATTTAATTTAGTGAATTTTAATTATCTGTGAAAATAGCAAAATTAAAAACCAGTGAATTATGAATATATTTACAGTAGTAATATTGATTCAGATTCAATGAAACTGGTAGGAATTGGGAGGCAGGATTGGAAGGGGAGGGCATCTTAAAACTGATCTTAGAAAAAGAAAGTGCACTTTGCAAGTTTGATTGAAGCATCTCCAGGTTAAAATTGTAAGCATGCTTTTTTTTTTTTGCATTTACTTTTACCATTCTTGGCTAAATTTCCTCTTGATTACCATTTTAAGAGAAATAAGGCTTTATTTTGTGAATTGCGAAGTTATTGCAAAAAAAAAAAAAAAAGGAGCTAATGGCAACATGGCTGTCCTTTTTTATATCACATAGTAACAAAATAAAATATGAAACTAAAAGAAATATGCTGAACATACCTGTTCTCTTTGAAGTGGTTTCACGCGGTATTACAGGTTGGAAATCCATATCTGAATCAAGATCCGAAACACTGCTTTCCTCGTCAGAGTCAGATTCCCAAGGATTTTTCTTAGATTTTTTCTTGGCAGCAGGCTTGAAGCTAAGAGTGGATTGTTTCTTGGCTGGCTTACTAGCACCTGCAAAAATGCATCACAGAAAAGTCATTGGCAATGAGAATGGAAGTAGACTTCCTGCAAATTTTGAAGTCTTGTGTCAATTACACGTTAAGTAAATTGTACACATAAATGCATGTTGTGATATGCTAATAACTAACACCAGTAACCAGTTTTGCGCAGGATGCAAAGCGACAACTGTCCCATTAACTATTGTGAAAAATACTTTTGCTAAAACAAACATAAAAAGAAAAACATTTCTTAGAATCTTTAGTTCTACACTTTTAGTTTGGAATGACCTCTTAAAGCGCGGTGGTTGTCGCGCAGCGCGTGTTCGAATTTCATGTAAATAAACAATGTATTTTACACGCGTTGTATACGTCGCTATGAGTCCCATATCGAACAGGATGCGGCGCGACGACCACTGCAGTTCAACGGCCAATTAAACAATTTCAGCATTCTCATTCGAACAATTCTGCCACCTAAAAATTGAACTACTTGCTCATGGTCTAATTAATTATGGGACATGAAGTCTAAATAAATTACAGCATCTGAATTTTAGAATTTACATTGATCAGATTAGAGTAGAGTTCCTGAACCTCTGGGGGAAAGCCTGAACATGTACAATTCCTATTAAAGTCGCTGGGTTTATGGGTTTATGAATTCATGACATAACAGCTAGTAGTGGACCAGCCAAGAAACATAACTAAAAGCCTGAGCCAAGGTGGTGGTCAAAGCAAATTTTTGATAAGTCTCTGCAATACAGCATGTGGGTCATCAAATGTGTCATTCACACAAAATGTCAACACACATGGTTGCAAATATCACCGCGCTTGAAAGAGTTACCAATCGGCGTGCACCACATGTTTGAATTACATGTAAACATGTTTCACACACTAAACAATTGTAGCGTTTTAATATCTCTACAACATGATACTGTATTCTTCATAAAATTGCGGAAACTACCTCGTCTGGTTACTCCCAAACAGAGAACAATGCATCAATTGAAGGACTTTCGTCATCTTTATAAAATGTTGTTTTACTGATTGCGTCTTCTCAAGTCCCTATCCAGTCGGTACATTCACCATGCTTACTTCGCACAATGTGATATGATAAGTGCAACAAAACGTTTTGGGTTTCTCACTCAAAACAGTTATTGTTGAATTAAGGGTTTGCTGAAGCTTGGTCGGGGTGTAGCAGGTTACCATATTTCTACACCAATTAACTACTGATGCAGAGTATCATCAAATTATAATAGATTATAGCAACACCATATCACACTTTGGAATACTATATTGATATTTATATTAAGCCAGGAGGAAAACAGCATTCCACAATTAAGCACATTTGATAAACATAACAGGGCAGACATTTAGTTGCTGAGGTAAGAGTTAGTTTATGCAGTTTTCGTTCCATTGAAGAAGAGTTCTACTTTCCCTTAAAGTGGGGGGGGGGGGGTCGGTCGGTCGGTCGTCACCTGCGCATGCATCAGATGGCCATAGCATGTCATTGTTTACAAACAAGCGTCTACCCATGAGACTTTGCGTTTTTAAACGCGTGTTGTTATCGTCGCTTGGGACTCAATACCCTCTCGCTTTAATTTGTCCAATACATGATAACCAGTTTTAATTCATACAGAGATATTTATAAACTATTACCGGTAGCTGATAAACACCAGATGGAAATTAAAAATCTTTGTAATTTATAATTTTCTGCACTCAAGCGAGGATGTCATAATAATTTACAATTTTTTTTCTCTGTATATACCTTGATGTAATTTTTTTATTGAATCAACTACACTTAATGAGACTGGTGGCCAGGAGTACTGAATTCAGATAAATATAGAGATATATGAATTTATTGCACTTGTTATTTTGGCCTTAGCTGTGGCAGATGTCACAACTGAAAATCGTGAGCACAAGAAAGGGTGCTGCAATATCCTTATATACAGAATTAAAAAGTTGCAAGAGTGATGGCTGTTGCACGGTTTCAATTTAAGTAATTGGCGTGTGGATGAAATGCAATGTTTATCATGAATGAAATGAACGGTGACATAGTATTTGAACAAAAATGTGGGTCAAATTACAAACACAAATAATCACACACATGATTGTAATGTACGACCACGGCAAATCACCTTGCCACTGTTAGCATTATATGTCTCTACATCTTAATGCATACAACCACATCCCTACAAGAACCAAGATGTTAGACACTTATAAACCACAAATAAGGCTAACCTTGATTGTAAATACCCTATTGTAAACTTAAGATTTAAAACACTCTTGATAAAATACAATTATGTCACGACTAGCCTCAAAAGCTTTAAAATGGGTTGAAACGTTCTTGATAGTTGGAAAGACCGTCCTATGGGGAGATTTGAGTTCCGAACTTTAGTATGTGAGCACGTTGAATAATTCCTACGCTGTATTTTAGATGGAACCCGCTTTACAGAAGATTTAAAAGGCACTGCTTCACAAAAGTTTGGTGCAGTTTGAAAACAATGTAAATCTCTGTAAATTGACCAACATGTACAAGAAGTAGAGTATGTTCTTTTAGAGACCAATTGAAGGAAGCTGTCCGTACCAAGAGTATTTGCTTTGCCTTTCTTGGCAAGTCTTTCAGCCAAACTCAGTGGCTGGCTGCTTTCCAGAGAAGTCTCATCGTTGTTAATCTTGACTTCAGATTTGTCATCTTCAGATTTGATTTTCTGAAAAAATAAAAATTATTTACTATCAGTGCTGTGTATGCGAGAAAAGCAGATATGCATGGTAGAGTGTTGGGTTTGGTATCACTATCATGTATTATTATACATCTGTCACCGTAACGCCATAAGTTATAGCGTGTCGTAATTATGCGGTATTGCACTGGGTATTTTCATCCTACCATATAAGGAAATGCGAATTCCAAATATGGAACGATTACACACGTAACCATTCTCTAATAATAAAAACAAACATAGCATCCCCAGGGTTTGACCGGACTCCACAGAAAGAAGTTCGCTGAATCTGTTCTAAACTTTTTTTGATTTTGGGATTCCCACGATGTATAATAAGGTTATTGCGAGAATACAGCGAAGTATGCACTCGATAGTATGCGCTCGCACCAACCTCCGCTGCCCGTAGGGTCGATACTCCAGCTGTACTGTCTTCGTGCATACTTTTCGGTATCCTCATAATAACCTCATAATATACAGCAAAAAACAAGAACATAATTTACTACAGCAATCACACATACATAATAATAAAACAATTTGAAATACAGTGTAATAATTAGAGCAAACTGCATAATTTTGGTTGGTTGTTTTTTTTCAAAAAAAATTTGGTGATTTATGGCATTTGAGACGTAAAAAATTTCAGAATACGAGGATCCCAGGATATTGTATATTGATTGTGACAAGTCATTGTTAATGACACAGTCCCCATCCAAAATTTTGTGATCTGACATATCAATTTTATACTGATGAAGTCATTGAGATTAGATTGAAATTATTTATAGGAGATGGATTTGTAAACAAAATTATGATTTAGTGCTTTTACACAAGAATTGAACATTGGGCAGTCATATTGAATCAAAATAGAAAAATAATGTTCATGTTGTACAAAATTTAAACAGAAATGTTCATTGCATTCATGCGAAAGTAGGCATGGGTATCATGAAAAATACAAAATGGTTGCCAGTCAGCCATATTTGCTTGAATGACGAAAAAAAAATGACGTGCACCTATAACCCAATATGTATGATCAACATATCAACTTTGGTCTAAATTGGCCGAGTCATCTCTGAGAAACTGCTGCGGACATGTTTAGGTATCAGAAATAGCAAATTTTACATCCAAAATGGTCGCCAGTCGGCCATTTTTGCTCCAATCATAAAGTAATTTGACATGCATATGCAAGACATTATGTATTGTCTTCATGTAAAGTTTGAATGAAATCCGTCAATGGATTTCCGAGATATAGCTCCGGACGTACGGAACGAACCTAAATTAATAGTCCTCGTTTTCAGACTTCGTCTGAACGAGGACTTAAACCATACCACAGACACACTTCTGTCATTTACATAGGCACATTGCATTACTGTAACTGATCCCAGATTTCATACAAATCTTCAAAATATGACAATTTAATCCACAGACTACATTTAACAATCTTAATGAAACGTTCTGCACAAATGCTGAACTTTTAACTGAATTTTGACAAATTTTTGAATCTGCCTCAGTAAAAACCAGTTTATGGTACCAACCTTTCTACCACGTCCTTTACCAGCATCTCCCTTCTTAAGACTGGGATCAATATGTGGTACGACTCTTCTCCCCATGGGGGATGGGCGCGTTTCCTGCTGCACAAACTTCTTGCGTTTTCCCTTCTGTTTGGCAGCTATAGCCCCACCTATCAATTCATCTTCCTTTTCCTGAGCTTCTACTTCCTGGAAAGAAGAACAAATTTTGTTGTTAAACCTCTGAGCCCCAAAGTCAACTTCATGCACCATCCACAAAATAGTTTTATTTGTAGTTTGTTTTTATCTCACAGAAAATGTTGACTAAAATTTCACCTATTTTCATCAACTAAAAGCAATGTTACATTTTGGTCTAAAATTAAGATTAAATTAAAGAAAAGAATTTAATTTACATTTTGAGTGGGGGGGGGGGGGTTGTCGGTCAAAGGGATAAACTGTACAGCGTTGTTGTCGCCTAAGTACATAACAAAACGTATAAAAGATTTATATTCATAGCAACAAATACTTGTATCACATTGTATCAGAAAACTGGTTTTGTTTGTATATACACAAGGCAGAAATAGATACACCGAAAAAGCACAGACATACTAAAAAGGTTCCAGACCTAGTCATTGGCTGCCTAATTTGTCAATACTTGATAGATATAGCAATGCTGGGCCACAAATATAAACCTGAACCAGTTTCAGAAAGAACTCAACTTTCAAAGACTAAGGGGTTGTCAATACATTCAACTAAAATTCTTACTTCTAGTTTTGCACTGAATGCATCCAAATCTTCAATCCAGAGATCAGAAGGAGTTTTATCACGTAGTACTTCCAATTCAGCAGCCTGAAAAATAGTACACATTAGGTACAATCACATGCCGGAGTCTGTAATGTGAACATACTGAATAATCCACTGCAAAGTGTCCCCACACATACAATGGAACATATTCAAAGCATTAACAACACTTGGCACATGCCAGATATGCAGTGACAACTTGCTGATTGGACCTCTGTTAAGTGTCTCCATATGTAATCAGACCTTACTTTTGCTGGGATCTAAAAATGGTACTCCAAACACAGTACCATAAATGATTAGAAAGGGTTTGCTATTAAAATTTCATAACAATGGTATTGATTCGGATATGTGAGTCGAGGTCTGGTGCAATGGAATTTATTCTCTAAATAAGAAAGTCATTTTACCTTGGTATCTCTATTCTTCAGCAATTCATCCTTCCTCTCTTTAGAGAGGCTCCACAACGCCATACCCAACAAGTAATTAAAATCTGGTCCACCGCCAGTAGCCGATGAGTACATGCTGTCGGTATCACTGTCTTCATCTTCATTATTTCTATTCTGGGATTCCTTCCAAGCCTTAATGGGATCAGAGTCGTAACCTCTCTGAACCAGCATGGAGATGAGATCACGTTTGGATTTGTTCTCTGTCGAAATAATTAACATTATTATACATTGGTCACCTGGCATAAGTTACAGCATGTCGTAAATGCATCCTACCATATTGAGAAAAGCAAGCTCCAAAGCTCCCCAATTTGGGCATCACATTTGCTTGATTAATCATTCAGACAAGATTAGGGAACCCAACCATGTGATTGTGTCATAAATACAAGTTAATCGAGTTTCGTCAATAGTGTCAACGTCCAGTTCAAAGTCACCTACCGATGACAATCTTGTTTTCAATCTTCTCAAGAATAAATCTAGCTTGATTGTCAAGTTTATTTGACTCCGCAGCTAGCAGGCCTTCTAGATATTCTTTACGGATACGATATCTCTCAAGTCGCAGTTCGAAGAATTCTTTCAGGATCTCCATTATGTCGTCATACTTTTTAATACATCCATGTGAATCAAATAAAACCTGCAAAAATAAGTGTGTTTCACAAACTATCAAGTTAAAATTGTATGACAACCAATTTCACTAGTCAAAAATTGATGGAGGGATATTCTGAAGACTGGCCGTCTCACATCACTACCATTAACAAAGCAAGTTGGCTTTTGGTCTTCAAATAGAAATTAGCAGTTCACCATTTAAAAGGTATAATTATTCACACCAAACATTTGGCTTAACATTTTCATGTTTTTTTATTTACATTTTCCTCATTTTGAACGAAATGGGCTATAGGACTAGATCGACAATTCTGAAAAAATATGGATCAATTTAAGAAGGTTTATTTTGTGAAAGGAAACAACTTTGGCAGCCAAAGAGTTCAAATAATGATACACCTCGTTGTGATAACTTGGAAGAAAAAAATTGAATACAGTTGAATCAAAGAATACCTATCTGTAAAGTAAAGCTTATCACCTATGGGCAACATGTCACAATGTATTAGAAGTACAAATTTAATCAAGCAAAAGAAAAATCAGAAAAAACATTGTTTTTGTGGATTCACTGTAAAAAAAATATGCTACTTTTACTGCTATAAATTTTCTTGACTTGATAATTTGACTCCTTAGGACGACAGTGAAAGTCTGACTCCCTAGGATCCCGGCAATAGTCACAGACTCACTTTCTCAAAAGGTACTCATAGCAGCTTCCATGAAGGATCAAATCACTGTAAGGGACGTAAAACAATACAACTTACACTATTTGTTACAGAAATGGTATTCTGTAGTTTGAACACTTTATGTAGCCCTTGTTCCTCTGCTTTTAGTAACTTCTCATCAGACATCTTGACCACAATTTTCACCGTTGTATCTGTATGATACTCCTTGTAGTCTCTGTAACCGAACAAGTATGTTAATAAGATTACATTCGTAATAGACCTTTGACAGCAAATGATGCTGAGATCTCATTGAGAGCGAGAGCCGCGACACTCGTTGAGTTTCAAACGTAAATTTTTACATTTTCCTAATCTAAGATTTGCATAAACTTACGTGATTAATGGTTGTACTTTTTCGCTCCCATGAAGCATAGGTTCTAACACAGTCTCTTTGTAAACCTGCGTCCACACTCGAACTGGGAGTTCGGTAATTTCCAGCGTGTTGTTATCAACAATTGCTATCTCACCACTGCAAGCATAACGATTAGCTTCAATTTCCTCAATAGCACCCTTGTAACCCTTGTAAGATGGCAGCTGTGAAGACAAGTACACTTTTAGAAATACTTCTCAAAACTAAACGTTTTAAACCATTCAAAGACTTGCTGTTTTATGTCCATCATTGAAGCACCATTACCCCCCCCCCCCAAATAAACATAGGGCAGCAATTCAGTGCCTAATCTGCCATCTGTTGACAGGGCCTGAACTTAACAGAGCTATCAAAGGCAACTGCTTTGACGACTAACAAGTTTGCTTTGGCGTCCTTTAATATTCCCTATATTATTCCCATAAGCTAAGGCCTTTTACAAATTTTGGGCAAGACAGCAATCATCTAAATGTCAAGAATGATTATGTATCCACACATCTGCAATCACGGGCAGTGTTGGAAATTAACGTCGATCCGTCGGCCTCACGCCGACAGTGGGTGTAAAGGGCCTAGAGCTGTGAAAAAACATCAGTTCTTGTGGCCGACAAACTTATATTTAAAAAAAAAACGTTCCATCATTTAGTATGATTGTAAGACCAAATATAAAATAAATATCAATAGTAACTCCAGAATTGTTTCAAAATTGCGTTTTCTTGCACGTTTGATCAACAAATGGCATCACTCATCGACCTGGGCATACAAGTCATAATTCAAGCTTGCCGAATGATCGCGAAATGCGCCGAACGTGGGAACTGTAACAAACTATCTGATTGGTTGTAGGCCGATCAAGCCTCCGATTCAAACCAATAGAATTCGTGCTTACATTTTATGTTCCGCAATCTTTGATTTGCATCAAACACGCTGAAAACTACACAAGGCGTGACAAACAGCAAGAATACGAACGGTCTAGGCGTAAACCACGCACATTCCAAATTAGCTGGCAGGCGAAGTTCAAAGACTGGTTACTTTTTGATAACAACAAGGTGATGTATTGCCGGCCTTGTCGAGGATCGTGCAGCAGAATTGATCCTTGTAGAAGCTGAGGCTGACGCCAATGATTGTGAACACGATGCAAAATGCATGTCAGATTCAGAGTCGGCCAGTGATCATGACAGTGTTTTTTCTGGAGATTTTGATGAGTTTAGTGACGATGAAAGAGATGATGACCTCTTTGAGGCTGCAGATAATATCTGATTAATTAGTAAATAAAGGTTTTGCAATTGCAAGCTTGTATTATCCGTTTAGTCTTTGTTTGTTAAATATCAGGGCCTACATTTAGCTAGAAGGACCTACAGTTTTAATTTGACATAGGTCCTTCGAGCCTTTTATGATTTTCGGTTAATTTCGAACACTGATCACAGGTCTCTTTTATAGAAAGTGTTCTGAAGATGACAATAGTGAATGGAAACAAAATATATGTTCGGAAAATAAAATTGCATTTTACCTCAAACAAAATTGGTTAAAACTCATTTAGCGACCAGCCATTGCTGGTGCTGTGACAATTCAGTGTTAGGGTTGGCATAGGGGAATAGTGCATTCTATGTACCAAATACAGTACGTGGTGAAGATCAAACATTGCACCACAGACACTACATAAGGCAATTATATTGGTTTCCGTGCCATTGAAATTTTATGGAGATACATTTTTCAACATGAAACATTCTCACAATAAGGAATGTAATACGCAATTTATATGTAAATGACGCTGTCCATGATCTATTTTATATTGTGGAGAACACCGATATAGTGACAAATACGTGATGGAATTACGTTACGAAGAATGTACTTCTCACTGCCCAATGGAGTTGATATTTTCTATAAAACAAAGATTTGAGACATTTATTTACCATTGGCAGTGGTTCTTCCCCATCTATCATCAATCTGATATTAGCAACGATTTCCCGGACATCATAATTGGCAATTTTTGTACTCCATCCCGTACCAATGCCTTCTGCTCCATTGACTAGCACCATTGGAATGATTGGACAGTACCATTCCGGTTCAATACGTTGGTTGTCATCAAATAATTGCGTCAAATTAGGATCATCACTAGCAGGCATAAGTAGACGAGCCAATGGACTGTGAAAGCACGAGAAGGCAAGGGAAAAAACAAAAATCACCATTTTTGGTTAAAACTGTCTTTATGCAATAATAAAATGCAATCATTTGTCGATGCCAGTTTTTCCCATTCATTATGGCCATCTGTGGGAGAAATGTTTTAAAGCCATGTCAATGTTAAAACTGCACATTGATTTCCTCTGGTGTAACAACCAGTTTGCCAGTAAGAACAATTTTCCACTGTTTGCATGTAATATTAATTTATGACAGATGTTTTACATGTCTTCAGCAATTTACTGCTGCCCTGTGGGTTTTCTGTTTTTTATTTAGATCTAAACAGTAAGCCATCAAGTTATTTGGCAGACCCCCTTCCCTCCTAAATCTTTTGCATCCTTGGCTGACTCGCTAAATATAACACTTAGGGACGACGTCAAAAGATCAATGTCGGTTAAAAAACTTATTTGCTTTAGTTTGGGGGTGGGGGGATTAAGTTTGTTATCCTACATTGAACTTTTGATGTTGTCCCTTAGTTACAGCTTAGTTACCAGTATAGAAACGAATAAAGAACAGTTTATTCACCTGAGCATGGTAAAGATGTATCTGGGGCTAGCAGCATCTTTACCACCATGTAGCCTTGTACCAAATTGACCAATGGGCTGGAGTAAGTTCAAGTTGTTACTCCCAACAAAATTCTGCGCCAAATTTATAATTGTTCCCATCAATGAAGCCTGCAAAAAAAGCAAATTTGCATATTATTGTTCTTGGGTTTAACAGCACAATTACAATTTGCATACAGAAATGATGTAACATTGGTACAAATATAACCCAAAATATAATATATCTGTTTTTTGGTCATTTTTGAAATTTTTGTATTTCAAACCTTGCTTGTTATACGCTAATATCGAGAAACTTAAGTTTGAGTGAAATATGAAATATATATTTTTGAAATAGTAGAATCATTGAAAAAGTACTCAGCTTAGTAAACTTTCCAATATTACCAGTATTTGTTTAAAACCTAAACAAATCTTTTAAATTTGTTTTTTTCAAATTTTAGGTACTACGTGTGCAATGAATACTCCTGCTATTAACGTTTTTTCATTGCCATCTGTAAACTCATTAATTATTCACCTGTTTTTAAATTTCGCTGGTAAGTAAATTTTGCTAAATTAAATCTATGTGAACATTTAGTATAACAATAGAACTCATTGTTTCTCTGCCAAGTTTGTGAACTTAAAAAAGCCAGTGAAATCGTTCAAAATATCAAAATAGTGAAATTAAATGCCAGTGAAAATAACAGGAGTTTAACCTACAGCAGTTCTGAGAATTATTCGGACAGTCAGTTAGCATAGTTGTTGGGCTATGTGTTTTCTGCTGATACTTACCTCACCGTGATGATAAGCAGAGTGTTCTGCCACTGAACCAGCGAGCTGAGCCACCTTAACTTCTCTTTTATCATTCCTTTTGAAGCAAGTGAACAAGACTTTTCTCTGACCAGGCTTTAATCCTGTTGTGGAATAGAAAAACAACGTGAATACAAATACTTTGGGTATTGACCTCTACAACAGAATATTACTGTGTTTGCTCTATTAGAAGCACATCTCAAAGCACATGTAAATCAAATATCACATTTGCTACTACTGGTAGTACTGTAATGGAATTTATTTTCGCTGAAAAAACTTTTTGGGCGTTTTGTATGGAATTTCACTGATTTTGAGTTGAATGTAAAAAACATAAAAAAAAAGGCATATTCACTGGATTTTATTTTCACTGAATCATTCATTCAACGAAATAGCGAAAATTAATTCCAAACGAAAATAAAGTATTTTACATTACCCGGACTATCATAAAAATGTTACCCATTTTTACTATGGAAACACCTAATTTTTGTAAGCATGTACAAGACTAATAGAGCAAATACGGTACTGTCCTGGTAAAATTTTAAAGCAACTTAAACACATACATAAGCTGAACCAAAGATTGTAATTGTGATATCCTGCATCAATAGTATTTTAAAGGTTGGTGGTCGCCGTGCAACACGTGTGTGAGATATGGGTATCATATGATCAAAGATGGCGACTTAGACTGTTGCGCAGACCAAGTACAAACTGATACGTTACCAAGTGTAATTAAGTAACTTCTTTGACGATTGGAAGGAGTTGTCGGCGGTAATTAGTACATGTCGCGCTCAGGTCAAAACTAGTTTTGTATTTTCAATTAGAAGAGCACATTGGATTGTGGAAAAATTAATATTTATCAGCACAAATGTGGCACATGTGACAACGGCCACAATTTAACATTTTTTGTGCGATGGGAATGGGGGTGGTTGTCCACTGAAAAGAAATAGAGGAAGCCGTATGCTGTATGTGCTCTATTAATCGTACATAAACTGAAGAAAATGATCAATAATTTTAAAGATCCAGCATACTCAATATTGGATTTGTGGATAATTAATAGACCATATCCTAATTTCAAATTATAGTGCACTATGGTTAGGCCAGGTTGCACGAACAGACAAAGTTTGAGATCGGCAGAGTTGTGTTCAATCATGGTTGGATTTGGTCAAAACTATTCACTATGATTTGGAATTGTGATATGGTCTATAGAGACACGCCTTTAATAAAGCAAATACAGTTTATTGTTTGATGATCAAAAGACAAGATAACGAAAGAAAAGCCAGCTTTAAAACTTACCATCCACCATCGAGGGAATAGATCTCTCGTTGTCCATGTTTGAAAACAAGACCAATTCTTTATTGACAAAGTCATTGTACGAGATATACCTTGTGTCCTTGTTATACAGGTACAACTGAAATCAAATAAATTTCATGCAAAAATTTGTCAATATTGTGATATTCAATGGAATTAACAATTTTATATGTTCCAAAAATTGACAAGCTGCTTTTATCTGTAACTACTCTCCTTATGCAAAGTGTTTATTTTTAGCGGACCATATCACCCATCTATTGGTAATTTTGATGCCTACCGTAAAATCTGTATTAGAAGCCATTTCTCATATGTGTGAATGCTTCAATAGAAGCAGATACAGATTTTACAGTACTGTAAAATACTTTATTATAGCTGAAATTAATTTTTGCTGCAAAGGCTTTTTGTAAATTTTGTATAGAATTTATTTTCATTGATTTTTGACGAGTTGAATGTAAAAATATATGAAAAAGGGTATATTCGCTTGATTTTATTTTCACTGAATCATCCCTTCAGCGAAAATAAATTCTAAGTAAAAATAAAGTATTTTACAGTAATTTTGTAGGAAACAGTAGAGAAGTGATATAAATTCTTTATTAATTTGTGCTCCTTTATTCCAATTCCTTAAGAAATTATTGAATATATATTTTTAAATTAGAGGTCAAAATTAGTTCACACTATAATAGCAATAGAATTAATAGGGGTGGGAGAACGTGCTGTAAAACACCATCAGGTTGTCATAAGATCTTGACTTTATCACAACCATATATGAATGCTCAAAGACCTGGATAAGCTAATTCACTTTTTTGATTGGATAATGTTTAACTTAGTTGTGTAATTTGAATTTTAGATTGGAGATAAATTCTTGAAATTTATGCACAATTATTTTTGGAAACAAGACAACTCATAATTGGAGGAAGTTGCGTCATTCTTTTGGGAAAGAAGTGTATCATTAGTATGCTAATTTTAATTTGTATCCATCAAAACTGTAGTTTCAGACACCTGCCTAATTTACGATGCTCACTTAAATTGCACTTAGAATTACTCTTGATGTTGTATATTTTGGTAAGGGGATCTGCCAAATTTGCAAAGTGGGAATGCAACTTCAAGTCTTTTATTATTTAGAAGGAATATGGTCTTAAAAATAAATTACTTACATCTGACAAACCATCTTCACGTCGTTTCTTTCTCTCCCCTAACCAATCAGTTAGCCACTCTTTCCGTTCGTCAGTCTTCTTCTTGGAAAAGGCAAGGGTGATCGCAGCATCATCTTGAGGGCCAACGTATTTAAATGGTATCCGATGACGAACCATATCACTAAAATACTCCTTCGCCTCCTTGTTGGTGCTGGTACCCAAACCTATATAAACACAAAAACAGTAAGATTTAATGCTAACATTTTTCATCTTTTACATACTGAAAAGTCATTGTCATTACCGTTAAAGTTCTAATATAAACTGCATACGTAATAGTAACCACACCCCCAATTCCGGCTTCAGAATTAAAGAGTGCTTAACAAAAACTGAGAACTTCAAAAGTACCCATTACTAACCGCACACCCAATTCAACAAGACTGTGACCGACTTTGTGACTTTGTTTCAACCAGCTGGTCCAAAGCGGCATTGTTCCTAATTTCATTCATTTGTTTCGACAACGACAATTTCTCGATTAAAAAAAAAAAAAAAAAAAAAAAATCGACCAGTTTTTCCATGGAAATCGAAAGCCAAAAGATCACACTACATTTTCAGTAAATCTCTCCAGTGTTGCGTTTACCCTGAGGTAGCTGAACTGTCATTAACATATTTAGATTTTGATCGGTTAATTAGCGACTTGACCTATCCAGTCAATAAACAAGTCTCGTGTGCATTACACAAGCAGCCTGTCGATCGAGATAGCTCCGCTGTTAGCAATGCACATGGCAATTAAAGAACAGAAGATATCATTAGAAAATTAACAAATCTGAGAGAGGTCCACATGTAGTACCTATGTGTATAATATATCAAAGCAATTGGACTTGCGGTTTTCAACAAGAAATTGAAAATATCACTTTTTACCAAAAATATTCACCAAAATTAGAGAATTAAAGATATCATCATGAAATAAACAAATCTGAGAGAGGTCCACATGTAGTACCTATATATGTAATATCAAAGCAATTGGACTTGGGGTTTTTAACAAGAAGTTGAAAATATCACTTTTTACCCAAAATGACAAAAATATTCACCAAAATTAGAGAATTGAAGATATCATGAAATGAACAAATCTGAGAGAGGTACATATACACCAAGTATCAAAGCATTCAGGCTTGTAGTTTTCAAGAAGAAGTCGAAAAAGTAAAACATTGACACGGACGACGAACAATCACTGGCATGATAAGCTCCGCTCGACAAAGTCGACAGCGGAGCTAAAAACATGGCGGATATCCTATGGTATAGACAGTTTACATGTGACTGAAATCAGTCGCTTACCTTGAAACTAAGTTGAATTTTACTTGCATTTCATAACACTTCAACCGATTTATTTTTTGTGCGTTATTATAATAACTACTGAATAATAATCACCAATTTCAACACTTCAAAAACAAGTAAGCTATTCACCTGTGAACCACAGCATGGCCAGATTGCACTATCGTACTGTGATCATTTGCTACTAAGCAGTGCATTCATGTTTGTTTTTATTTCAAACTTGTTAGAATATACTTTTCATTAACAAGAAAATTAAAAAAATAAATGCATACTGTAAAGGGGGTAATTATTCACTGGGTTTTTCAACATTTCGTAACGCCTACTTTAGAACCAAAGTAAGGCCTTTCACTCTTCCCTGACGCCTATTCAAGAAATTGTACGGTGTATTGTTTGTTTTGTGCGAGTGATGTGGGCAAAAAATGACCACGCCCATTTGGTAATTGCAATA